TCAGTTTTCTTTCATGTGTTGTTCAGGTCTTGGTGATTCGTTCAAGTGTAGTGTAAAAGGATGGTTGGGCTTACTAAAATTCAATGCACTGCCTTTTATTTGAACGTTCTTGAGTCTTTTATTTGAATATATTTTGTCTACAAAAATTTGAAAGTAAGAAAAGAAATTTCAAATCTATGTTTCAATGCACTGCCTTTTCACCTTCTGATCCTCTATCCCTAAACTGTTTCCATTGTCCAGTCTTGATACCTCTTGACCATCACTTTTGACATCTGCTTCAGCTTCTTGTATTTGGAATGCGGCGTCCTCTTTATCAGTACCTCTGCTTTCCAACTCGTCATCGCATGCGAGCCCACCTTCACATCTTTTCCTCAGAGGAATAACCTGAAAAAACGAGTCCTTCCAATCTCTTGTTTCCAAGAACTTAAGCAGTATCTCCACAACTTGATTCACTGTAAGGACCTTCATACATGTAGTAACACAAAAGTAAAATTAAACCATTATGTGGATACCAAGGATACTTTTGAGTAATACTTCAAATTTGACCTAGCAACTCTTTTATTCAAAGTTTGATATTAAAGCTCAATATAAACAGAATACAACATTTGAAAGAGTCTCGTCCGTCATGCTAAAAAGAAAACGAGAGGTTGAAGGAAAAGAACAAACCTGAGAACTTGACATCTTTAGATAAGCTCCAATAGGCAGTTTGGCAGTTCTTATCCCTTGTTCTATTGCTTTCTTCATGGTAATGCCTTTCCAACGATTCCTATCCACCAACCCACCGATAATGTATATCGCTTTTGGATCAAGCTCATCAAGGACATTTTCGGCATCGGCTGTTAGATACACCAAGTTTTCCTTCTGATCTTTGAAAGCCTCCACATAGGATTGTTCCTCCTTTTCGATTAACCACTTACCATATCCAGGGATCCGTAGAAGCTGATTTTGCATCTCTCCCTGGCAACCTGTCAGCCAAATGTGGGCTGGCACAGCACATCTTCCATTTACCGCATAGCAGTACATAATCTGTAAGTCATGACCATAGCAACTAGCTTAATTTGGAGCTAAAAGACAATGGTGAATAATCGACCCCCAACAAATTCAGCTCTACTAAGAGTGAAAACTGATGCAGAAATCCTATGCAACCAACATATTATGTAAATAAGATGGCATCATCTAAAGTATATTGATCAGAGTAATTAGAGGAACCCTAAATTGATCAATGTAGGAAAGTATGCATGATGTAAGATATACAAATATATAAAGAAAAAGGGAAGGGTTACACAGTTCTACTCATCTTCCAGACACCGCTTGACATTTGCATTTGAAGTGCGATATAATGTTCCAAGTGAGTAACGTATGGGAAATGGCTTAGGATTTCATTGATGCACCAAATTAAGATATTGCAAAACATTAGCTTGACCATGGGTTATCTCATGAGCCACAATACTGATAGTCCTTTCGGATTAACAAATTGTATGCCATGCCCAAAGATGCTGCCTTCCAGTGATCTTTTTCCTTAGAAAGTGTAATAGAAAAATTTATGTTCATTGCAGCCAAAAATTTCTGTTCAATGACGAAATGTAAATAAATAACTAAATAAAAGAATAAGTAACTTAAACTATCCAGAATATAAGTAAATCCTAAATCAGCCAGCTGACTGATCAACATGCCTGCACCAGCACAAGAGGGCGCGCGCCCACACACACATACACGTATATAAACACCAAATGTTAAGTGGCCCATGTATCCAGGTCATGATCATTTCATCCTATCAATCTCATAGTCAAACAATTTCTTCAAATTTACCTGAGTCTACAAGTTTTGGTTATGTTAACACTTAGTTTTAGTGGCTAGTTGAGCATTTTTGTATTTTTACATAGACTGGTATCACCACTCATCAAAAGTGGCTACTGAGTGGAGCAGACGAGAAGTAATCATTGTAGAAACAGAATCAGGCGGAAAGGTGAAAATTACATGTTCTGCAAGAGATTTATATAGCTAGAAAAATTAAGGAAAATTGCAACAAAGGAGCATAATCTTTGTGTAAGAATTGTGTATTGCTGTCAAATTGGGAGGAAAATCTTGCAGAGCAGTAACATTACATTATCTTTTTCTTGAGAATAGAGGAAATATGCAAGCAAGCATGGGTATGTAAGAAAAGAAACTGAACTTTCTGTCTAATAATCTTGTTTCATTACTTTTCCTTGATTACGAAAGGTAATATCACTTATCAGCTAATGCATAAGAATACTATTATCCTTGGTAAAACTAGTTCGGTTTCCTATCTGCCATTGGCTTTATTACATTCCTTACGACACTATATACATTTTTTAAATTTTCTTAATTTAAGCAATTTAACTCCAAGAATTGCACTTTCTTGAACTGTCGACACATTACATTTTCTAAATGAGTAAAACCAAATGGAATCCAAACTATTCCAGATATACCATGCATGATGAGATAATACATCAAACAAAGCAGTTCTTTAATGCCCCGTAAAGCTGCTTAGTACCAGCTGGAAGTACGAAAAATAATGGGGTCTGTTCATATTAATAAAGGAATTACGTACGAAAATTCAAACCAGCTACTCACTTCAAGCATGTAATTCACATAAAACTCAGACAAACTTTGCAATTCCACGAACCCAGAAGAATCTACATAGGATTTCACGAACCAGAATTGCCGGTAAACCAAGCAGACAACAAATAAAACCCGCCACTTAAATTAAAAGGCAAGAAAAGGGAACGGAGAAAATCCGAGAGGAAGGCACCTGCTGAACGAGGCTATGCAGTTCACTGGGGCTCATGAGATGGGCGAATTCGAGATCAATAACGAGGTTCTGGCCATTGGTCCTCGCAGCCTGCAGCCTCTCCAGCTTCTTCCCTTTCGCCTCCGTCTGCTTCTCCACGCGCTCTTTTTTCAGCACTCTCCTCTCCTCAATCAGCTTCTCCCTCTCCTCCTCCCCAACGCTCGCCAGTCTCGCCTCCCACTCCTTACGCTTCCGCTCCGCCTCCCTCTTCTTGTGCTCCTTCATCTGAGCCTTTTTCTCCGCCTTTTTCGCCTCGAACCGCTGTTGCTTGAGCAACCGCTTCTGGGCGTTTTTAGACATGGATTGGGTGGCGGTGGAGGAGGCAGTGTGGGTGGCTTCGTCATTACAAGGGGCTTCCATCGCCGTTCCTTATTCCGAGTAATTGGCTGGAAGATAGGGTTTCTCTTTCACCGGAGGGTACAGCACGGAACGACGCCGTAGTAGGCTCTGCCACGATGTGCCACCTCCCACATATAACTTCTCAAGTGAAAAACGCCGAAAGTGACCCCACCGCCCCAACATAACATGCGCCGTCGTTTGCCAGTCATATTGATTCCTTTCATTGAAACAATTAGGGTGATTTATGCGACGTCGTTTGCTTAATTTTGTGATTTTTTGCACCAAGATGTTTTTTTCTATATACATGACAATTAACATGTCAATAATACGACTTATCAGTTTAGTGGTTCGGGTTGGACGGCGGGTTAGTTATGGGTCATTGGTGGCTGATATTCGGTGGGTGGTTGTTGGGTTTGTGGTGGCTGGGTGCTTTGTCGGTTGGGACGGAGGGTTCGGTTGGTGAGAGGGGTGTAGGTGGTCGACCTCCGATTACAGCTTCAGGGGCGGTCGTCTAGGAGATGATTTGGTCCTCTAACGCGGTTCCAGCTAGCCGTGGCTACATTGGAGTTTTTGGAGAATTGTTCGAGCCGGAGTCCTATCTGAGTGGGCGATTGTCTTTGGGTGTCGGGCCGTGGTGTGTTGCGGGTTATTCTTTTGTAGAGAAGAGGGTGTTATTTAATTTAATTATTGTAGTGTTGTGTTGTTGTTGTATGGTTGTAGTTTTGTGTTTGTTGTGTTTATTTTTCTTGTTTTGTTCACCTTTTTTATGAGCTAAAATCTCCCTTTTTGGAAGTTTTAGGTTGTTTAGTCGATGTGTTTTTGTGGGTGTGTTTATTAGTCTCTCTAGACTCCCGTCGTCTCGTCGGGTGGTTTTCTGCTAGATTCAGTTGGATAGTTGTTTTGCTTATTCTAGTTGACTAGTTGTATATGTATTTCTCTTGTCTATAAATCGTTTCGACAAAAAAAAAACATGATGATGAATTAATTAGGGTTTTTTGTGCGAAGAGTGTCTTTTTCCAATTTGGAGATTTAGGGTTCCATAAGAGTGGATTTCTATTGTTTTTTCTTGGATTTGGGTCTTCAATTTAGGGTTTTCTGCGTTTCTTCGAACTCGATGTTGCATGAAGAACCAAGTTCGATCAAGGAGATGGAAAGGAAATGGGCAACAGAAGTCGAACATGAGTTGTCGGGCAAGCTAGCCAACTTTGTCTTGTTAGAGGAGGAAAGGTATAAATCAATCTTCTAGAAGCAGATGTTGTATCAGGGATGGAAATGCAAGAAAAGTCTGTTTTGCAAAGTTTTTGGGGGAAAAAAAGGTAAACTTCTTGGGATTAAAGATTAAGTTAAACAACATCTGGCCAATTAAGGAAGGATTTATCTTGAGAGAGCTGTGGTTCAACTATTTTCAGTTTATCTTTCAATCAAAGGTTGACAAAGAGAGAGTTTTCTGAAATGGAACTTGTGGACTTTCGATAAAAGGAGTGGGAAGAAGATATCTGTCAAAAAGTGGAGAATTTCAACACAGTGGTCTTGTGGGTTCAAGTATGGGAATGCTTCGATTCATTGGATGTCAATGGAGGTAGGAATTAAAGTTGGGGGAGTTTTTAAAAATGTGTGGAATGTTCCATTACCAGAATCTAGTAGTATCTGCGGGATGCATATAAAGATAAGAGTTTCTGTGAATCTGAACAAACCCCTACCTAGGGGAACTAAAGTTGCCATAAAAGGTATGTTTTATTGGGTGTCTTTTAAATATGAAAATTTAGTAGAATGATGCTATTACTGTGGGAGAGTGGGGTATCTTGAAAGAAAATGCTTGAAAAGGCTACCAGCTCGGGATCAAAGTGTTTCCAGCTCGTTCTAGCCGGTCGAAGGTCTTTTGATACTAGGCACAAATCATCGAAGGGTGATAACTACCAATGTCATAAAAATGATTGATGTTCAACAACTGGAGACCAAAGGCACACACAATATCAGTCGTACACACATTCATTATACAACTAGGCCATATAGTCAAGATCACATGGGCAAACAATAGAAACTCAACTCAATCACTATGAAATACAACTTGTTGAACTCTATTATATAACATGCTGACATTACCACACAATGACAAGTGACTTTACACATCTTAAACAATGATTATGACTAAAATTAAACTTCTCATCAAAAAATGAATCCAAGAAAAATTAACTGAAGATAACAAATACTTGATATTCATAAAAGTTGTTGCCTGAATTTGTATTAATGATATGATTAAGCTAGGTTTTCAAATTTTGATATGTTGGGTGGTACAGTCTATGATCAAGGAAAAAACAAGATTTGAATAGATCAGATAAACTTTCAAAAAACAGTGTTACATAATCCTCAACCAATATTCATACAAACCTCAACATAAGCTAAATTCCTAAGAAATAGGGCAATCAATTTTAGTGATCTAGGATTAGGAAACCATAGGCTATTACAGAAAATTTACCCAAAAATTTGCCATATTATATTCTAAAATTTAAACAATAGACTTACAAATCACCATGACATTAACTGATCACAAAATTTTAGTTTGTACCACTTGGGATTATCTTGTGTTTATGAGATTTAAAGTCAAATTCCATATTATAATTTCCATTTGACGTGTGAAAATACATATTTTAAACAAGATCAAGATATGTATAACCAAACAAATAAACAAAAGGAGCAACACAATCAAGATTAAGAACTCATACGAAAACCCAAAATTTAGAACAAAAAATCAAACGATAAGATAAAATGCTTTGGTCCCTAGAAGAAGATGGAAATCTAATAAAGCACAAAACCAAATACAGCCATAGCTGTTGGAGCTCTTTTACAAAGCTAACAGGTAATTATCAACGGTGTGCTATAAAAACTTGTCACAAATCCTGATTTTCTAATAATGGTCGGAGCTAGAAATCCAGTCCCCCAGCGGGGGCATAGGGCACTGAATCGCACATGTAACAATGACACTGAACAAAGTTTCATGTTTATAACAAAATATATAATGATATCATATTATCATGCGTCGTTCTATGATTTAGGAATTCATTTGTTCGATGAAACCACAAGGATGCTTTTCTTAATCATGCTTAGGAAAAAAGTACTAGCTACAATGGATCTCGTGCCCACTTGAAGGAAATAGATATTTCACACAAAGATGTCGCTGGTGAGGGAAGTCTTGCATGTAACCTACAAAGCATAGAGAAAACAGACAATAGTTAGGTTTAACTTTTAATTAAAAACTACAAAAGACAGGGCCATAAAGGAAATCAACTGTCCATTAATGAGTGATAGAATTGTGATGGCATATATAAATACCATTCCATGATAATGTTAACAAGTAAACAACGCCCATACTATAATAAAATATTGTGGTACAACTAATCTCTCTCTCTCCTTCTCTCCCCCCACACACAAATAACAATTACAGCAGACTACAACTTGAAAGATATATGCTTACATAAGCTTTAGTTCATAATATATTAGGATGCAAATATGGCCCAAGTTGTAAGATATATGTTTACATAAGTTGTAACCATTGAAGAACGCTCGCCCGGACACAGACAAACTAAAATTGATAATTCAAACAAAACAAACAAAGTACACATATCCATACACATACATATGAATGAAACAGACAATTAGACATAAATTGTGCACAAATTCTAGACAAAAAAAGTATAACTTAAACATATCAAGAAATTTAGAGGGTCTATGAAGAGGGTAGAGAGGAATCATGAAATTTAGAAAGGAAATCACGAAACAACCAGTAATCTATCTTCGGAATTACAAAATTTAGAAAGGAAATTGCGATAGAAATCTAACCTCGTGTAGTGGCAAAGAGATTTTGTTGGGTGAGTTCCATCGTCCTCAACCCTTTCTCTTCGACCACTTGTGAAATTGTCGTTCTCTTTGGCAATTTAAGGCTCGAGAAATTTAGGGCTCGAATGTGAGGACTCGAATTAGTGTTGTCGCCCTCGTCCTTACGCCCGACTCCTGGCGAGAAATTTTTGTTTCTTCCTTAATCGCTCTCGAATGGTTAGGCTCGCATTTAGGGTCAAAAATTTGAAATTTTAGCGTGTAAGAGAAGAAAAGTATATCTGTCATGTGTTTTACATTATATATAGTTTTATCAGGTTTTATAATTATTTGACTTGTTTTGTTTTAAAGTATATCATATTCTATAAACATGATACAAAAGCAGACTTATAAAGTTGATGGAACTAAGAGCACCCACAATGCATTGGGTTTCTTAATAAAATATCATATGCCACACAAGAAATAGACAGTCTATAAAAAAAATGTATTCCAATGCAATTAAAAAGTGGACATGGTCTAGCTTATGTGACAATAAAAAAAAGAGACCAAGTCCACACTTCGGTCTATTTTGGACCCAAGTACAAACCTAAACACTCATCATTTATTTCTAATTTAATTTTTCTTTTAATAAAGGAAACATATTTGAGCACTTTTATTGGTTGACATGTATGGTAGACCTAAAATTTTATTTTTTCATTGAATAGCTTTTGAATTTTTTACTTAGATTTGTCCATGTCATTTAGAACTTAAGTCTATTTATATGTCACATATGTAAAATTAGACCCGATGCATTGTGGGTGCTCTAAACTGTCAAATCCCATCAACGTAAGTAAATGAGGCCCAAAAGTAAATCTGGAGTTAGTAGTGGGCGCGGTGTGGGACGGTTCAGGATTTGACCTATCCCATTACCTGTCCCGTTTTTCTGAACCGATCCGAGAACGGTCCGGGATGAGACACCGTCCCAAATGGATCGGTATTAATCGGGACCGGGACAAAACAGTTTGGGATAGGGACAAAAAGGATGAAAAAAAAAAATCAACAAATTTCAAATACTTATTTCATTAACACACAACATCAACATACATTAAAACTTTAAAGTTCAAAACAAACATACACATACTGTCATTTACTTAAAAGTCCACTAAAACAAGTAAACAACATATTCCAAGTCTCCAAAAGTCCAATAGTCTGTAGTTCAAACCATACACATTAATCACAGTTTACTTCACTCGTCTCTTATCAGCTATCTATTCACTATTTGGGCCAAATACAATGGTAATTGTTAATTTATTTAATTTTTTTGGGCCAAGTAGAATTGAGCTTCTATATATTAAAATTTACAACATACAAATACAAAGGACCAACATGAAAACTACACTGATAAGTGATTACTGAAATGAACTAATGAAGTTTAATAATTATTCACTATATTATTAATATAAATATAATAATAATATTATATATATATATAATATTTGTGTATAAAAAAAATAAAACGAGACAAACGGGACGATTCAGAAAAAATATATTAAAAACCTATACCGACATTGTTTCAACCTGTTCGGGACCGGGAACGAGACGAAAATAAAAAAAAAAAACCTTTTTTAACTCTATTTTTTGGAATTGGATCGTTTCGGTCCCAAGAAATTCGACTTTTTTGCCCACCCCTATATGGAGTGGTAAAGCCGTAAAGTCTAGCGCGAGCGCTAATTTAACGCGCTCATATTTCGTTTGTGTTCGAAACAACATAACCAAAATTTACAAGCCCCTAATTCACTCATCCCGCCTAGAAAAACATAGTCGGAACTCACATAGTGAATGTGAGCATTCTTGTTCTGCTGGAGTTCTGAAGAAATTCCGTTGGAGTTTTACTCTCCATGGCTGAAAAGCTGGAGCAGCAGCTGAAAGAACTGGGATCCAGGTTGGAGAAACCTCCTTCTTCAGCAGACGCTTTGGTTGGACTCTTGAAGGTGAGTAACTCAATGATTTTTTTGTTTCGTTTTTCCTTCGAATTTTCGAAGGAGAAGATGATGTTAACATTGAGCAATTAATTTATGTCCGTTTTGAAGCACCGTATATGGATGTATCCTAGTAATTTGTGAAAATATTGTGTTGCTTTGTAACCGGTGTTATATTAGGTTCGTTCCAGCGTTCTAACTGCCTTTGTTGTTTCTGAAACTAAGGGAGAAAGTGCGTGGATTTTCAAGAATTGAAGTGAATTTTGAATTAAAGACTGTACTACAAGTTCAATTTATAGGTGCATGTGCCTGAATTGTGTATCTTGTGGATTTTTTGGGAGGTTCAACTGAATTAGGGCTCCTTTAGTGTCTGTGAGAAATTTATTCCCCAGGGTTGAAAAGGCAGATCATGTTAAAGGACTTATCTTCTTTTACACTTTTTTGATAAGGAAATCCATAGAGCCCTCTTTGTATAAATTGATGTGTATTCATTTTAAGAATATAGATACAGAAAGTACGAGTTGATTTGGTATTTTTTTTCAGACTACGGGACATGTATATGGTTACTGTTGAATACAAGGAGAAAAAAGCCACACTTGTGTAGCCTATAGGATTATAGTATAACCCTGTACTTTATAAACATTCCAGTTTTGTTCCGGCTTCTAGCTGTACCTTATTGAGCGGAGAGGGTCAGCGCTGGTATGTGATTGGCAGTTCTTTCATTTTACCACATTGGTTTACGTTTTCATAAAAAAACATTACATTTCTGTCGTATCCACTCACGATCCAAGAATTGTATGCTTCCTCGGAAATTAATTTCTATAAAGGATAAACTCTCTCTCTCTCTCTCTCTCATGAAAAAGGAGGAAGAAGAAAGTTCCAGTTGAGCTTCTTTTGCAAAATATAATTGAAAGAAAATGTTATAGCTTTTTAAAGAAAATGGGCTGGTAACTAGTCCTATAACCAGAACATATCTGCATTCTATTGTCTAAATTTCACTGCAAGGAAAAACTTGTTTTAGAAAATTAGTAAACCTTTTCTGCTTAACTCATAAGGCTCATTCATTCATAGAGACATCTTGTATGTACACATGTAGAACATGGTTTCTGCTCCAAAGGGACAAATATTGTTCAGGAGTAATCTTCAGGTTATAATTTACACGTCAGACGATATTGGATTTTGACACGTAATACTATTTGAGTTCGACTCAAATAGAATGAACTTCTGAAGTTTCCATGTTGGTTTGAAAACCATATTCAACATCAGCTTGTGATCTTGTAATGTGAAACTTCTTCTCCTCACGCAGCAATGCGTGGCATGCCTATCTGAGTTGGACCAGTCACCTCCAAAATCAATGCTGGAGGCCATGCAACCTTTCCTAAATGCAATTGCCGAGCCAGAACTTATGAATCATCAAGATCAAGAAGTAAAACTTTTTGTTGCTGCTTGTCTCTGCGAAATAACTCGAATTACTGCACCGGAGCCCCCTTATGATGATGATACTTTAAAGGTGATTCTTTGTTCTGGAGCATAATAGTTAATAGAGATAACTCAAGAATAAGCTCGTTTTCATGGATGTGAAAGACTTATTTTCTGATTATTTCTGTTTAATCTATTTTAGGATATTTTCCAATTGACTGTCAGTACTTTCAGTGGCTTAAGTGATACAAGGGCCCCGACATTTGCAAATAGAGTTGTTATTCTTGATACTTTGGCAAGATACAGATCCTGTGTGGTGATGTTGGATCTCGAATGTGATGATCTCATAAACGAAATGTTCAATACTTTCTTTGCTGTTGTCAGGTACAACTTTCCCTCCTTTGAGTAACTGAGTTTTATTTCATCATTCATGGAATTGTATTTATTCATGCTGCTCACGAGAACTTCTCTTCTCTACTTTATATAGGTCGAGGGAAGTGCTTTTAGTTGTTTTATCTTTTTTTTTTTCCCCATACTTGTCAGATATGAAGTATGCACCAGTTTTACTTCCTGACTTTCTTCTTATGTGAACANGAGAATGCAAACTTTTACTTTCTTCTCTTGTTGTCTCTCTTCTTCCTGTCCTTTTGTTGGCTACTTCTTTGACCAAGTTAAGCTATACTCATTTTCGTGTCATTTATGGGTTACAATTTCCTGTGCATAATTTAGTGAGGTAAGGAATTTTTCGATGAAGAGCTTATTCTTGTTTCTTGGTTGATAAACAAACCAAGTGTGTTTTCTGGGTTCATAGACAAAGGTATCAATTTGCTTGCCTGTACCAAAGATTTGAGTAAACCGATCTAATGGTGATACTACAGATGGATAACTGATAAGTGAACTCATTCTAAAGTTGACATGGGAAGGACTTTATTGACCTGATTGGAGAACTTTTCTTTTTATATTTTATTTATATATTTATTTTTTAATATGTGGATTGATTTATTTATTTGTTGTGGTTTACCATCGACACCGTATAAACATTTCTATATGGTAGTATCTCTCTGGTTCTGGTAATACTGTTTCCTCTTGCTACTTATTCCCATTTACACTTGGCTTATATAGGATAAAAAAAACATGATGAAATTATTTTCAGTTAATGACAGTAAATGCAACCTTTTCAGATCGATATGTTATTCTACTAATAATTGATTTAGAAAGTTGCTACCTGTGCAGAGATAGTTCATTAAGATTGTTTACTCTATTGTCGCAATGATTTCATATTTTCTATCAACTGTAGAGATGAACATCATGAGAATGTATTGACTTCAATGCAAACAATAATGGAGGTTCTCATAGAAGAAAGTGAGGATGTACAGGAAAACCTTGTACTTACATTGTTGTCTGTGTTAGGCCGTGATGAGGAGGTAAAAACTTCTTTCTTGCTTGCTGTTTTTTTTCTTTTTTTTTTTGTATTATTGTTTTTGGTACAATAAGAAGGTAAAACCCCTTCCTTGTTTGCTGTACTGTTTTAATGTATCTGAGCATAAGGAATTGAAATATGGAGCTTTTGCTTCTAGGATGTGACGATGGCTGCGAGGAGACTTGCTATGAGTGTGATAGAGAATTGTGCCGGGAAACTAGAACCTGGCATAAAGCAATATCTTGTGTCTTCAATGTCTGGAGATAGCAGCTCTGTGAAACCTGATATCAGTTACCATGCTGTGCTTTATAATATTTACAAGTGTGCTCCTCAAATCTTGACAGGAGTTGTTCCCTATATTAATGGAGAGCTATTGGTAATCAATAATCATAGTCCACTTCTTTAATATGTTATCTTGTTTTTCATGACAAAGAATCTTGTGCTAACTAATATGAGCGGTCAGCTGTGTTTTCTTTATAGTTTCCATGAGTTCATATGATTTAATACTACTCAAGGATGAGTTTTCTTGTTTTGACTTTAGAAGGTTTCTTACCTACTTTTGGATTATTTCTAGAACTTTTCGTCTTCTGTATGCAATATTTCTTTCTTATTGATGGATTTCTTATGCTAAAGTGGTTTTGATAAACTCCCCTAAATATTTTGCCACCTTAGATGGTTCATTTTTTATATGTTGGATACTTCATCAATTTTAAAATTGTTCTATAGCGTGAACAAGTGGACACTCGTTTGAAAGCAGTGGGTTTAGTCGGTGACCTCTTTGCTCTGCCTGGATCTACAATTTCCAAAGCATTCCAGCCAGTCTTCACAGAGTTTCTGAAAAGGCTCACTGATAGAGTGCTAGAGGTTAGGATGGCTGTCCTTGCACATGTCAAGTCTTGTCTTCTGGTCAATCCATTCAGAGCTGAAGCTTCTCAAATAATATGTAAGGGTTTTTTCTCTAGCTGTTCACATGCTAGAAATTGTTATATGATCTTTAGAACTGATAATGCCAATGAAATTTCCAGCTGCCCTTTGTGATCATTTGTTGGACGACGATGAGATTGTGCGTAAACAAGTTGTCTCTATCGTTTGTGATGTAGCATCAAATGCCCCCTCATCCATAAAAGTTGAAACAATCAAGCTGATCTCGGATCTACTTCAAGACAAATCTGTCTGTAACCTACTACTGTCTGTTGTCATTTTTTATACCTGCATCTGTCGTCCTATTGTGATGGTTTTATTGCAAATGTCCAGCTCCTGCTTAAAAGATATACTATGGAGAGGTTAGCTGACATACATCGAGTATCTTGCATAAATCGGTCTGAAAGCTCGGCGGAGAATGATGCATATGACTGGATTGTCGGGAAGATCCTCAGATGCATCTATGATGAAGATTTTGGGTAAGGCGCAGTGCTGGTTTTTTGTTGCAATAAATTTATTTATTCGGTCACTAATTATATGATGAATTGAAATAAATAGCAATGAGTCTGTGGTACAGTTTGTGTTGTTGAAATAACAAATAATTTATCTCATCAAAGGTTACGGAATCTTTTTATAGTTTTGAGGTCTAAGAACTAGAGAAATTTTAGGGAAGTGGCTGGTGACTACAATTGATTTGCTACGTAAGGTATTTTAACATTCTTCATTTGTTTTTTTTCCTTATATGTGGTGTTGTTAAAATTTTTCTCCATGCAGGTCAGATAAAATTGAACCCATTCTCTCTCTATCCTTGTTTCCAAATGATTTTTCTGTCAAGGACAAGGTGACGAATTGGATCAGAATTTTTGCTGGGTTTGACAAAATTGAGGTGAAGGCTCTTGAGAAGATACTAGAGCAGAAACAAAGGTTGGTGAAGCTGCTTTTGTTCATGTTAGATTTTCTTATGTTGTTTGTATTTCAACACTGGATCACTTTAGATTTATAACTTCATGACACAGAAACATTCATCTCATGGTATTAATATTATGGTGCAGGGTACAACATGAAATGCAAAAATACATTTCCCTTAGACAGTCGCCTGAGGTCTGTAACAGTAACTGCATTTTTCATTCTTTGGCTATTGGAAGTATGTAGCCTGTAGGAGCGTTTGGTGAAAGTTTCAAGTTTGTCTTTGTGCAGGAAAGTGATGGCTCTGAGACCCAAAAGAAAGTAATGCTTTGTTTCCGTGTTATGTCCCCATGTTTTAGTGATCCAGCAAAGGCGGAGGAGAACTTTAAGATTCTTGATCAGTTAAAAGATTCAAAGTTTTGGGAACATTTAAAGCAACTTGTTGATCCAAACACAAGCTCTCCACAGGGCATCAGTGTACGGGTGAGGCACTAGTCTGATTGTTGACCTGATTATGGGTTCTTTATCTTCATTTTCATTTCTTTGGCTATAAGACTAAAAGTGCTTCTTGATCAAAATAGGATTTATCAATCTTTGTGAATGCCATGCAGGATGAATTACTGAAGGTCCTTGGCCACGAACATCGACTTTATGAGTTCCTGAGCTCTCTGTCATTGAAATGCTCGTATATACTTTTTGATAAAGATCATGTAAAAGAAGTCCTTCAGGAGGCTGGTGTGCTGAAGACTTCTGGAAATAATGACCTAATATTATCTTGCATGACTATTCTTGTGGTATGGCATCAATTATTGCGTAGATTATGGATGTGATATTTATTGATGACTACTGAACGGTGATGTATTGACCTCAACTGATTGCTGTTTGACTGTTTAAAAGTCGAATAAGAACTTATATGGTTGTTGAATCTGTAAAAGTGACTTGATTCTCTCTGACATATCCTGAAAGGCTGAAGATTTTGTATCCGATGTGAGTGTAAACCATTGCGAACCATTCAGTTGTTCATCAACTCGTCACAAATTTATTTGAAACTCGATGCAGAAAATGTGTTATCGTTAGAATGAGATATTTCTCAAATATAGTCTGCTCTGTAGTTATGCAGCACAGATTTTCCAGAATGTAATATTGTTTCTTTTCGCCCATAAATAATGCATGATTTTGATCTGGTATGGTGGTCTGTTGTTTTCAGCAGTAGATGAAAAGATGAAAACATGAGTGTGATTCTTTGTTGTGCCATTGAACTTTGTGACCATGCCAATCTCCTTTATCACCAATATCAATGGAAAAGATTGCTTGCTTCAATATTCTTAAATGACTCTTCATCTCTCATGAATTTGTTTAAATCTGTTAAAAAATTCAATTCTTGATATATTGTGCTATGGACTTTCAGATTCTTAGTCGATTTTGCCCATTACTGCTTGGTGGGATTGAAGAAGACTTGGCATGTCTTCTTGAGGATGACAATGAAATTATAAAAGAAGGTACTTTACATATTCTTGCAAAGGCTGGGGGTACAATTCGAGAACAATTGGGTGTTTCATCAAGGTCAGACTAAATCAATGTTCGTAATAATTATGCTATTCGTTTATTTTATTCTGTTGGTTTTGATGTAACCATTATGCTTTATTTATAGATCATTAGACCTTATTCTTGAGCGGATATGCTTCGAGGGTAACCGAAGGCAAGCTAAGTATGCTGTCCATGCTCTGGCATCCATCACAAAAGATGCTGGGCTCATGTCACTCTCTGTTCTGTACAAGGTTTCCCTAAGTTTTTATTTCCTTCTTTTAGTCATTATTCTGTCTTATTCTAAGGTATTATTGTTTTATTATTGCTTTGCGTTTGGTCTCATCGTTTTTTGAGAACTTAATGGTTGTTTAAATGAATAGAGGCTTGTTGATATGCTTGAAGAAAAGATGCATTTGCCAGCTGTGCTGCAATCTCTTGGATGCATCGCACAAGCTGCTATGCCAGTCTTTGAAACAAGAGAAAGTGAGATTGAAAAGTTTATTAAGGAATATATACTGCAACGCGAACATGTATGGCATCACGGGAACTTTATGATCTCTTGTGTTCTTTTTTTTTTCTTTTGTTTTGTTTTGTTTCAAGGATTGTTTATAAATTGTGTACATTGCAGATGGTCGAAGATAAAGAACCTGGTTATTGGGATGATAGAAGCGAACTATGTTCTTTAAAAGTATTTCTGCTTTCTTACGTCTTCTATATCATGGCTCAAAGATTCAACATTGAAAATCTATATTCCTCAAATGAGCAATGAAATGCCTTGGCAGATCTTTGGGGTTAAAACACTGGTCAAGAGCTATTTACCTGTCCAGGATGCCCATCTTCGTTCTGGAATTGATAGGCTAATTGAAATCCTCAAGAATATACTATCTTTTGGTGAGATCTCAAGAGAGATCAAATCAAGGTATTTGGCTCTATCCAAAAAGTTGTTCAAGGAACTTACAGTTATGGAATTTTCATTTTTTACTTGGGAATTGCTTCAGAGTGGTACTGATATGTTTTCTTCACTCAACTCCAGTTTGATTGATAAAGCTCATATGAAGCTTGCTGCAGCAAAAGCTGTTCTTCGCTTATCAAAGCATTGGGAGCACAAAATTCCTATTGATGTCTTTTATCTTACACTGAGAACTTCGGAGGTAGAGTACTTGAGTAGGAGTATGTGGTTTGTGAATTTCTCAACTCCTATTATGTTATAACAGATCATGGACATGTTTTACTTTTCTCTCTACCATTGTTTATGTCTATAGGACAATTTTCCTGACGTAAAGAGAACAATATTCAACAAGATTCATCAGTATGTAAAGGATCGAAATTTAGATCCTAAATTTGCTTGTACCTTCCTACTAGATATTTCATCTCAGCAGTCAGATTTGGAAGAGGTAAAGGGCCCTTCAGAGTGAATTTATACTCCATCCTTTACCACATTTGCTGATGGAAGTTAAATTTTATTTATAACTGATTACAAAGTCTTGATTACGAAGTCCATTTGTCCTGAATTGTTGGGCAGAACAAGCGGAACTTGAATGACATCGTCCAGATGTTTCGACAAGGAAGGGTACAGCATTATTCTTCACAGGCTGATCCAAATTCTCCGTCACTTTATCCAGAACACTTGCTTTTATATGTAGTCCACTCCCTTGCTCATCATCCTTCATTTCCCAATATTGATGAATGCAAAGATGCAAAAGCATATGAAGCTATGTACAGGTATTTTGTATTGACTAAATTATACCCAAATGAATATTGCAATCAAGAAAAGTCATGAAGTTGTGATCTTGATTGAGGTATCATAAAATATTTAATATTTCAGTTTTTTTTACTTGCTCATGTATTTCTGTTAGAGTTATAGATTCGGGGGAAGAGGTGTTGTTCGATAGAGATGAAACACACCATTAGAGGGTGAGGCTAGGTCCACCTCCATCTCAAAACCAATTGATAATGGTAGGAGTAGCACAATAGGCTTATAAACTAGACTCATTTTCCCTATTTATTCAATGTGGGACAACTCGCAAGTGATATTCCAACACGCGTCCTCACTTGTGAATCTTTCTCTAACCGTCCCAGATCAAGGTCCGTTAGCAGTCATTATAGATTCTAGATCAGGTTGCTCTGATACCATGTTGGAGTTATAGATTCGGGGGAAGAGGTGCGGTCCCATAGAGATTAAGCACACCATTAGAGAGTGAGCCTAGGTGCCACCTAAATGAGGTTCCATCCTAAAACCAACTCGTAATAGGAGTAGCACACCTGGCTTATAAACTAGACTCATTTTCCTATTTATTTAATTTAGGACAATTCACAAGTTATATTTCAACAATTTCATCTTAGCTGACCTTTTATTTCGGATAATTTACATAAAAATATAATGCTTTCTAACTTAAATTTACTGTTACAATCTTGAGAACCAAAATAATTATCATCTGGAGTTGGAATTTCAAGAATCCAGTTGCTTTCTTATTGCTCACATCCTTTGGTAGAAAATATCAGGATCTTCTTCTCACATGCCACAAGCTTTAAAATGATGACAAATAATAATGATTAAACATAACAGTAATTTGTTACCATCTTGAGTTGGAATTTGAAGGATCCAGTTGCTTACTAATTGTTCACATTTCTTTGGTAGAAGTTATCTATATAGTATTATACTTATATTTTACTTTGGCCTTTTGCCTGATGCTTCACTTGAGAATGCCCGGAATTCATAATGGAAAAGAATTGTCCGATAAAGAACTTGGTGGCACAGTTTTCACTGTAGACTACTGCATTTTTTATCTGAAAAGATATATCTGACCTCTGTCAGTGCCAATGGATTAAAATTTACACTTGGTACAAGCATGATACATTGATACCTTACCAAATGTGAAGCAAGAATCTCTAGTACATATTTCTTGCATGACCTCTTGTTGGGCATACACGTCAAACTGATGCTACTGCATGAAGTTTCTTCACTGCATTTGTCTTGACACATGTCTATCTGTCTCAGGCAGCTGTATCTATTCCTGTCTATGCTGCTGGATGGGAAATCAGATGGAAATATTGATGTCAGGGCTACCAAGGACAAAGGGACTGTTTCATTATTGTATTCTATTTTCTTATGCATCAAGCATTCTGAAGATGTTTTCGATTCAACTAAGTCCAAGGTTTGATATAACTGTCTAGGATTTATCTTTTTATCCTCGGCTATTTTCCTGGGTAACATTAAATTTTTGCCAAGCCAGAAATCTGCGTGCACATAGCAAAGCACTGCAGATGGTTTTTCCTATAAAGATAATGCATGACTTAGTCTGTTCGTGAAGTTGATGTCTAGTTTAATGTCATGTAATTACGTCGCAATGGTATTACAGAATTCATATGCTCTGTGCGATCTTGGTTTATCAATTCTGAAAAGATTAGCTCCAAAACAAGTTGATCCTCAAGACTCAAGCGCGTCTGTGATCCTACCGTCTGTGCTTTATAAACCACTTGAAAAGAAAGAAGATGATGAGTTGCCGGTATGCATAATTGAACTCCCTATATCTTTGCATGAATCTTCATTTGTCTTTATATCGTGATGCTTGACAATAGTTGTCCGCTGTCCTGTTTGGATTTGTTCTAGCTGATATTTGTTGTGAGAAAGAAGTCATGTGCAAGTAAAATGTTATTTCCATTGGTTCTCTAAAAAGCTGCAACAATGTGTGGTCATTGGACTTCGTTGTTTGCGATATTCTTTTTTGGTTTGATGATAGTCAATTTTTAACTTTTTTGAATGAGGTATTTTTTGGACTATTGCTAGTATGATCCAAGCATGCTCAATTGAGTATTTTTAACTGTATTCCTATAGGCATGTCAGTGAAATTGCCTGTCAATCTTTTATTATATTCTCATTGTGCTTAGTTGGCTTCACATGCTAGCCACCTCTACATATTTCTGCTAGCCAATCTATCTCTTTTCGTCTCCTCCTCTAAGTTTCTACTTCGCCTACTTGATTGACCCCTTCAGAGCTTTAATAAAAAATACTGATCTATCATATAATACTTTATCTGCATTACTTTTTTCTTTTGCCTAACATGTAGTTATTTTGCCAGGAAAAACTAGCAGAGAGTGGTTTGGTGCCCATACGGCTGAACTTTATTGTTTTTGCCTTCTTTTTTCTTGTTTTGTGATCATAAAAGGGACTGCTGAATTCATGTTCTCTTGGACTTGGAGTAATGTAAAACTGAAAATTTGTTTTGTGTGCTGGGGTCTAATGAAATGCTGGACATGTGTAGAAGACTAAAGTGGTCCAAGGGCAACCTTCTAACGATTTATATGGAAGTCTGATTACATTTATTACATTTGAGTGCAAGGATCATTTACTTGCTTCATCTCATCAAAAACACTATCTGATTTTGCACGTTTTTTCCCCTGAACTAGTTTGGTCAAGAGAAGACATGGTTGGCAGATGATTGTGTCTTGGCCCATTTTCAGTCACTTGAATTGGAAGCTAATGGAATGGTAAGATTAGAGATAATTTCACCTCATCCGGTAAGTTATTATATCGGTGTCTCATAATGGAATTTAATCATATGCACTTTACCAGCTCCAGGTAAACTCAGTTATTGAGGATGACATCTTGAAGGAAAGTGAAACAGAGCCTTTGGCAAAGTTAATGAAACGACTAAAAGCTAAAGCAGCAAAGGCGAGAAAAGAGGTGAAGAATGAGCCTGCACCTGCTGTAGGGGCAAATGCAAATGAATTTGATATATTAGAGATGGTTAAGGAAATAAATTCTGATAATCTCGGTACAAACATCAAACCTGGGTCAAGTAACGGACTTGAGCAGGTTCATGAAAAGGAAGAGAGCAGCAATAAGCTTCAGAAAAGGAAATCACTGTTTAGTAAATCAATGGATGTTCCTGTGCCAAAACGTAAGAGAACAGCATCTACTCACTCTCGCAAGCCTCTACAATCAAGCCCTTCAAAGGGCTCTGGGAGGCCTACTAAAATAAATCTAGAGAATACTGATGTTGGCACTGAGAAAATTGATGAAGAGCTTCCAACTAAATCAAAACAGCAACCTATAAAAGAAAAAATAGCTAAATCTGCAGAGTCTGACTTGGTAGTTTCACGTGTTGGAAAGAAATCAAGTGCATCCTCTAAGCAGAAGGGAAAACGATCTGACAGAGATCAAATGATATCATTCATAGACTCTATGAGTGCTAAGGTGTGGTTATCTTGTAATGAAGATTGTGGATTCCGAATTATGTTTTGTGAGATGTGTTTTCCTGAACTTCTCTTTTTGTGTACAGAAGTCAAAAAAAGTCGCAGAAACTGCAAAAAAACATTCCAGCTCTGGTAAGGTGGTACATTTGAAGAAGCAAAAGCAGAAGAAAGTAATATCAAAGGTTAGTGTTCTACCTTTCTTATAATTACTTGCAATATAGTTATCTTGTGAATGCAGACATGGTGCTCAATATATGCATGGACTTTTTGAGGATGACTACTTAATGTAGCTTCTGCAGCTCTACTTCAGTGATATTTTGTTTTTATTTATCATAAATGTTTGCGGATCTTCTGTTCCACCATATTTTACTGGCCTCCTTTTGCACGTTGTTTGGTTTTAGTGCACAACCAAGGAAAATGGAAACTCCTCCCGTGACTTAATTGACCAGCGAGTGAAAATTTGGTGGCCTCTTGACAAAAAGTAAGTGTTTCTTGATGTGGTCTGTTATAGTTATGATGGTGGGAACATTATAACAGAATGCCATTTAGATACCAAAACCTTTATCCATGTGGCATGCTTATGAAACATTTCATTTGGTTCTTTCATATTTTGATTTGAAATAATTTAGCCCCAAGGCTTGCACACATTGTGGCTGCGCATCACCATGCTTATGTTGTAGAAACATAAGTATGCAAACGTGAGATAAAAAAGAAGGGAACTCAAATATTGTAGATCAGTGTGTGATGTAGAATTGATCCTTTCTCCATGTCTTTTCATGTATCTATGCCTGCAGGGGCCTTCCAATTTCATGTACAAATTCACACACTTCCCACATTGCCATATCCCTCTAGGTATCTCATACATCAGCATAAAGTTGCAACTTGTATATTTTATGCCACAATTGTGCATTACCATACCCAATGATAACATAATTTATATGGCGTTCCTGGATGATTCCTTGTAATTCTATAGATTCATGTCATCATGCTATATCCTTTTGACGTTACTCAGGTTCTATGAAGGTGTTGTGAAGTCCTTTGATTCAGAGGAAAAAAAGCATGCGGTAAGATACATCTTGTTTGTCTTGTTTTCGCATTATCCTTCCTGCCATTGATTTCTTAGTCAATCTTGTTCTTCAAAATCTCAATTCAGACTACTTCCCTTCTCTTCCTTTTCTTTTCTTGCTCTGAAGAATATTCTGCTGTTGATAGATATTATATGATGATGGAGAGGTTGAAGTTCTTTGTTTAGAGAAAGAACGTTGGGAGCTTCTTGATAAAGGCAAAAAAACTGAGGTGGTCGAAATACTGCCTAATAATTGTTCTTCTCTTACATATGCTTATTTTCATTTAGCTAAAGTTCTGACAGTGTTGGCACTTAATTTGCAGAAGTCTGGTTCGCCGAAGGGCCTTCATCCTAAAGGAGGGTAAGTACTGCCTTTCACTAACATGTGCTTACCTGTTTGTAGTTTCATCAACCTTGCCACCTTTTACCCGTACAAGAGAAAATTTGTATAGGTGCACCCTGAAATGAACCTGTCTCCATAAGTGTAAGAATGTATGCCAGAAGAATGCAGAATGGGAAAGTTCTGATAACATGAATAAAATCTGTACTACTGGTTGTAATCTTCCATGATTAAATTTCTTAAAATAGATGTTTGCTTTCAATCATTGTGTAGCCTACATATTCCATTTTTCTGGCACATGTTGCTCTGGCCAATTTAATCAGGTTATTTCATTTGAGGATAACAAAGAAACTATCAGTGAATTTCTGATTGGTCAAAAATCTGCAGCACGGTTGTTTAAGTTTAAGATTTGAGATATTAATGCACTGCCAATGAGTGTTTTTAAGGTTTCGTGAAAATACTCCTTAAGGTTCATGGTTGAGCTTGAGGTGGTCTGGGGAAAAGAACCTTACCGTATGTGGTTGGGGTGGTGAGCATTGGATGAGGTATTCTTTTGTACAAAGTTATGTACCTAGTTTTACATGTGGAGAGAAAGGGAAGCTGTAAAAGAGAAAAACTGGGAGAGATTTGATAATGGGATGTAGTCTAGTTTCTCTTGGTTTATGATTGAAGAAGAGTTTTAAAGATTGGAGGGTATACTGGACTGGTTTACTACTAGGAAGAATGAAAAGGTAGCTGGTCCCATTTGTTATGGAGGTTTTAGGAGAAGACCACTCATGTAGCCCATCTAAGTTGCTTAAACTTTTGGAACAGTTGGAAAATGTATTAGATAAGTCTGCCTTCTATGGTGGCACATGAAAACCCCATATCCTTTTAGTTGAGGTCGACCACTAGCATTTTTTCTCGGTACTGTCGTTCTTAAAATGGAATAATTTTTACTCTAAAATGTCTACCAACTTTCTTTAGGTTGTATTTTGAATACGTACATTCAAAATCAGTCATGCCACTTTTGGAAAATACTTTGCATATTCTAGTAATCTAGTTCAAGGAGCATATCTTTGTAAATGTTTAATTAAGCCACAATGTTCAACAGAAGCTTGTGCTCTGATTGACAAAAAGATAGAAGCATAGATCATTCTCATATACTTATTCTAGGAACTCTTGATTATTTATTTTTCTTCATTACAGTAGAGGAATTTAAGGAAGTAATTAGGGACTCTCTTAAACATAGAGTTGCCAATATATAGAGCTGCCTGACACGTTTCCATTTAAACCTGTAAATTGTAATGGTGTGCAATGCGGAAGTAATAATGTGGTATGAAATTGAATGGTTTGAAATGTTCCCTGTAGCTGTAGCGAGTAATTGAAGTGTATGTTAACACAAAGTTGTAACTTCCTTCCTCAACTCTTGGTTGTTGGAATTGATTGTTAATCTAGATTTTACTTCGACATATGCATGCCGTTCGACTAGAACTTGGGTATCCTACTAATTTGATTGACTTCCAGATCATCTGGCAAGAAAAGGAAATCTACTGCAGGCTCCGAAAGAAATAAAGAACTTGAAGAGAAGTAAGCTGGGTTTTTGCATTTTCAAGGGACTTGGAAAATCTTGCTCCTTTCTGTTTTTAATTAACTAGCTTATAATATTACACCAGGTCCTTGTCGTCTAAAGCAAGAGGGAAAAGTACTCCACACAAAAGTGTAAAACATAAGCAGAAGGAACAGTCAAAGAGTAAATCCACAGTGGGAAGCAGTGGACACCCAGATGTCGCGCACCTCAAAAAGTCTAAGCCCAGTTATTTAGACTCAGGTTAGACATCTGTTGCTACTTATTTATTGTTTTTTTCTCCAAATTTCCTAAGCATAATTGATAGACCATTCCAATATTTGATGTTTAGATTCAACAAATAGGTATACTGCTTAAAGCTGATACCTTCCATTGTCCAATATCCCCCAAATTGATTCCGTTATTGAGATAGTTAGACATGGCCAAAACCCGTGACCCGGCCCGGCCCGCCGGGTCGCCGGGCTCGAAAATACTGACCCTGAACCGACACGGACCTATACTCGTGCCGGGTCCGTGTCCGGGCCGGGTCGGGGTCGGGTCCGTGCTTTTTTAAAAAAAGTATAAAAAATAATAAAAAAATTGAAAAGAAGGGTCATCGACCCGGCCCGGCCCTGACCTTCCGGGCCGAGTCATGAAATGAATGACCCTTACACGGCCCTTCTAAAATCCGGGCCGGTCCCGGACCCGTGGTTAACGGGTTTGACCGGGCCGGTTCCGTGCTGGGTCAGGGCCGGGTCGGCGGGCCGGGCGACCCTTTGGCCATGTCTAGAGATAGTAGCATTTGGTGACCTACACTGTTGTCTTAATAATTTATTGGTATGCATTGTGTGGATTTTGTGCATCACAATTACCTACTTTGTTCCTTGAACATCCAGGGAAAAATAAGAGTAAAAAAATCAGGAATAGTGGGCCCAAGGAGATATCGAGTGACGACGAGAAACTAAACAACAAAGACGATGACAAGGGGTCGCCTGAAGCAGAACTAAATAAAGAAGAGGAAACTGATTCTGAGAATACGGAAAGTGATGATTTTGGTCGTGATGCCCGGAAATCCCATGATGGAGCTGATGCCTCTTCTGATGAGATGGAAGTTGACAAGAAGGAAGCACCGGCTAATGAAGATGAGGACACAAACAACCAACTAACAACATCTGAGGAAAAGAAGCCGTCTGATTCTGGCTCGCTAGATGCTGAAATTTCTGATGATGAGCTTCTGGTAATTTAGCTTCAGCCTTTTAATTTTTTATACAGAATTTCTACATAAAGTTTTGTAGTAAGACTTTTTTTTTTTTTTTCTTTTCTTTTTTTCAAAATAAATAAATGCAGAGCACGTGGAAGAAACGTGCGGGGAAGAAATAAATAGGTGGGAACAACCATCACTTATCAAGCTGCTAGATTTGGACAATGTGGAATTTGCAGCATGCTAAATCAGTGCAAGACTTTGACTGTCGATGAGAGTATTATTCAACTTGTGGACTGGATGAATAAAGTTTCTGTATCCCTGCTGTAGATGGTAAGAGTAAATATTGTACAAGACTTTTGCCTTGGTCCTTGGTATAGTTGCCGGGATTCAGTTTGCAGTGGGTTTATATGTACCTTTGGAGATTTGTGTATGATTTGGTGACTAAGATTTAGGCCCTAGTGTACAGCACTGCTTCTATTAAGCTTTGTAGCCCAGCTTCTGATTTGTATGTATGTTGTGAATTGTGATGGGATAGTTGTGAGCAATATCTGAGGAGTATGTTCTTCTTTCTAGTTCTGTAACAGTAGTGATTTCACGCTCGTGGCAAATTATTTTCACAAATAATGAACAAGAATTAGATGTGTTTAAAAGCCCACAATAAAGGAGCTTACATTAATTCGTAATATGGGGCTGTTTGCTTAAAACTCAAGTTAACTGGTTTCTTAGAGTCAATAAGGTAAACTTGGAACGTTGACTTCCTCTAGTTCGATAATATATTCAGGATCTAAGTTTCGAGCAGATCAGTATAATAGCAAGTGTTTATGCTCAGAATGTACCACAAATTTTTGTAGGAGTTGACCTAATTGTCTCGGATTGACCAATATACTATTTGCTGGAGTTATTCGACGAGAGTTCATGTTCTGTAACTATCTCATTTAGCTATTCAAGAACAATTATTTAATCTTGAAAAGTTTTTAAACAAACTTGAGAATCTTGTATATTTGTATTTTACTCCCAAAGATAAAATTAGGCTCTGATCGCACATGAAACACCTAATGTGTATGAAACATTGTTATGCACTTTGTTTGTTTGT